AGTCAATTTGATTCAAGCGAATTCCTCCCTTCCTGGAATTTCGTTTCTACGCGGTGCGACGGCGGAATGCTACCCGAGTCAACGCTAGTACGCTAGCACTCCAACGCTAGGCTAACGCTGTCCGAGCCATAACTTGGTAATGGCAGAACTTTTCGCGAGGCAACTTGGCTTATTTTAAAGCTCTTAGAGTGAGCTTCGATATAGGAAATTCTCAGCTTAATCCGATCAACGGTCTGCACGATACGCTGCGCGACGTTCAAGGTACTCTTGCTGTTTTGACTAAGTCCCTCTTGATCCCTCTCTCTACAAACTCGAACCCGAGGATAGGGGCTGGTCTTGTACCAGGCACCCAAGGACCCTTGGAGGTGATCCCGACGAGAGGTTTCAAGTTTTGGTAAAGTCTTCATAGCTTGAGTTTATTAGGCCTTTACACCAAACAAGCTGGTATCAGAGCTGCGTTATAGTGATCCTCGTTATAGGTAGCTATGGCGGGCAACACCTCGGCGGTAGCTGGTGAATCTTCAGCCCAAGATCGTAGCGGCAGCCAAGATTCTGGTGTTTCTGCGCCAAGGGGAGCGCGAACAAGCCAGGGCTCGCTGATCAAGGAGGTGCTGAAAAACTTCACCGTCGAGAAGTTCAATGGTGAGGGCTATGATGATTGGGCCTGGAAAATGCAACTTTATTTCCGTCAGATCGGTTTGCTGAAACTAATGATTGGGGAGGAGCCTAGACCGAGTGACCCCGCCCTTCAGGAAGATTGGGACGAGCGCGCCTCGGCTGGCTACTATTTGATGTCGCAGAGTTTGGCGCTGAACCAGCGTCACCACGTCATGCACCTGCTGCCGGAGGTTGAGTGCGGTCCGAAGGCGTGGACCGTGTTGAAGGAGCTGCACGCCCCGACCTCCGTTGTTGCAACATTGATGCTGGAGAGGGAGCTGTCCGCGTTGCGCCTGAGCGAGGGAGAGCCGGTGCAACCTGTCCTGGACAAATTGCGCGACCTCTACGCGAAGTTGGCGACCGCAGGAATCACCTACCCGGAGCAAACAAAGTGCTTGAAGATGCTCTCGCTGCTGCCGGAATCGTGGCTTCAATTTACGAGCGGATTGAGCCTGCCGCAGAACCAGAGCTTGTGGACGCTCGAGTGGGTGCGGACGAAGATTCTGGAGGAGGACATTCGTCGCCGCCAACTCAGGGGTGGAGACGACGGCAGCAGCGGCTACGGGATGCAAGGGAGCCGACGTGGCAGAGGACGTGGCTTCGGTGGTGCTGGACGCGGTGCAAAGAAAGATGACGACTCCAACGACCAACAAGGAGGTACCGGTTGGGGTCGCGGTGCGAAATTTGAACGTGGGGGCAAGTCGGGTGCTGGTGGCAAAATGAAAGGGAGTTGCTGGTATTGTGAGAAGGAAGGGCACCCCTGGTTTTTGTGCTATAAGAAACCCGATGGATGGACCCCCCAGAATCGTCACCAGGATGGCGGCGCGCGGAGGAACCAGAAAAACGGCGCCAACATGGTCGCTGATTCGTCCCACAACAACCCGAAGGGCAACGGCGGTGCGGAGAAGAAGGAGCGCACCGCGGGCCAATCCTTCCATATGGGAGACAAGGGGGAGCAAGGAGACGCATCTGCTAAGGTTGGAGCAGAGCTGCACCCCCTGGACTATTGGGTGTTGGACACAGGCGCTGCTTGGACAATGACGCCGCGCAAGGACCTGCTGGACGACGTACGCGCTGCACCGATTAATGAGGTGTGCTCTGCCTTTGGATACATGTTGAAGGTGGCTGGTGCGGGACGAGCTGCGTTTAAGGGAGCGGATGGCAAGCTTGTGGTGCTGCACGACGTTCTCCTCGTCCCCGACCTGAAGGCCAACCTTATCTCCCTCTGTAAGCTTGGCAAGGCTGGGGTGAACACCAACACGGATGGGGCTCGCACTTATCAGGGGAAGCTGGGCAATCGGGTGCTTTGGGATCTGCACGAGAGCAAGGACGTGTACAGATCTATGTGGCAGCTGCCGGCGCTGGCGTGGCACGGTGGGGGGCAGGCTGGAGAGGGGTCTGCATCCCACGGGGAGTGCAACGCCGTTGGAGGGGTTGGTGTGAAAGTGTCGGCCAGATCTGGGGAGACGGATTGGGCAACTGCACACTGACGTTTGGGGCATGTGGCAATGCCTTTGCTGAAGCAGCTGGAGAAGGATGGAGCCGTTAAGGGCTTGAAGCTGAACGGACAACCACCCGATGATAACTCTGAAATTTGCCTCCTTTCAAAGTTCACCCGTTTCCCCTTCCATAGTGTGGCTGGCAGGAGCAAAAAGCCGTTGGAGCTGGTCCACATGGACTTGGTGGGGCCGCTGCCGGTGCAAGGGCACAAGGGGGAGCGGTACTTCCTAACCATAGTGGATGACTGGAGCAGGCTTATGTGGGCGTATCCACTGAAGCAGAAAGATTACGCCGCCTCTACGATTCGGGACGATTGGCTGCCGTTAGTGGAGAAGCAAGCGGAGTGTGTGGTGAAGCGAATTAGGACAGATCGGGGTGGTGAGTTCCTTGGAGCTGAGATGACGGCGTGGCTCAAGAAGCAGGGCATCCAAAGGGAGCTGACCACGGCTTACAGCCCACAGTCCAACGGTGTAGCAGAACGGGCGAACCGGACAATTCTGGAGACAGCTAGGGCGCTGCTCATAGAATCTGGGCTGGGCAACTTGATGTGGCCCCATGCTGTTCGGCACGCTACCGTCGCTAGGAACATGGTACTCACAAAGGTTGGGGATGACTCGTGGGTGCCGTTGGAGCGGTGGCTTGGGAGGAAGCCGCCGGTGGACATGCTGAGGGTGTTCGGTTGCATGGCAGTCGCCCACGTCCCCAAGACCTACCGCAGTAAGTTGGGGGCGAGTGCAATCTGGTGTGTGCATTTGGGGCTGGCTGTTGAGAGCAAGGGATGGCTGCTGTGGGAACCTTCCAAGGGTGTGTTGTTTGACAGCAGGGATGTGAAGTTTGTTGAGGGCATGATGTATGGGAGCTTGGAGAAACAGCCGGAGGCCAGGAAGTCCCAGCAGATGGAGCAGATCACCATGCAGCTGGACCTGACTCCTAGTGTGTGGGAGGAGGGAGAGGAGGCGGCTGCAGAGGGTGGTGATGGAAAGGAGGTACAGGAGGCACCTGCTGGTGGAGAAAATGATGTGGAGGCTGGCACTAGTGGAGCTGCTGGATCTGAGGGGAAAGAGCAGCAGCAGGGGAAAACTAAGAAGCCGAAGGGTGTCGTTATGAAGGGATGGGAGACACCCGTCTCCAGGCCAGGACGTACCCGTATGGCTACTAAGAAGCTGACTGCAGGAGCTGATGTAGCTGAGCAGCAGCTTGGGACCGAGGAGGCATTGCTGATTCTACCGCATGGCTATGACCCGGATGAGGAGGATGAGCCTGCGTACTGTTTTCTTGCTCCTGCACTAGAGGAACCAGCTAGCATGGAGGAGGCATTAGCTGGAACAGATAGGGACGAATGGCTAGCTTCTAGGGATGCTGAGTACCAGAGCCTGCTGGAGAATGGGACTTGGGAACTAGTGGTGCTGCCTGAGGGAAAGAAAGTGGTACAATGCAAGTGGGTGCTAAGGATCAAGACTGATGACAAGGGGCAGGTCACCATCTACAAGAGTAGGTTGGTGGCAAAGGGGTTTATGCAGAAGGAGAAGTGGGACTTCAATGAGATCTTTGCTCCTACTGCCAAACCCCCTACCCTTCGTGTCTTGTTGGCAGATGCAGCTGTTAGTGGGAAGTTCATTATCCAGATAGACATATCAACGGCATTCCTCAACGGGATTTTAGAGGAGGAGGTGTTCATGACGTAGCCACCTGGGTATGAGGATGGTACGGGCAGGGTGTGCAAGCTGAAAAAGTCCATCTACGGCTTGAAGCAGGTGCCTCGCTGCTGGTACCAGAAGTTGGCAGCTGTTTTAGAGGAGATGGGATTCAAGACCAGCAGCTGTGATGAGAGCCTCTTTCTCAAGGGGGAGGGGGAGAAGCTGGTGCTGTTTCTGGTCTATGTGGACGACATTCTTCTCTTTAGCAGCAGCATGAAGGAGATCCAGAAGGTGCAGCAGCAGCTGATGGAGAACTTCAAGTGCAAGAACCTTGGGGAGGTAAAGTACTACCTCGGGATGCACGTGGAGAGGGATCTGGATCACAGGTGGTTGAAGCTGCACCAGGAGAAGTTCATCAAGGAGCTTGGGGAGAAGTACGGAATTGAGAATGAGCACAAGGTTGCAACTCCCCTGCCAGCAGAATTCAAGCTTGTGAAAGCTGCAGAGGATGAAGGGGTTGAAGCCGAGGAGCAGCAGCAATTTCAATCCTTGGTGGGCAGCCTCTTGTATGCAGCAGTTCACACGAGGCCCGACATCTCTTTCTCGGTTGGGCAGCTGGCTAGGGTGGTGCAGAATCCATCAGAGGAGCAGGTGGTTGCAGCTGAGCATGTGGTGAAGTATCTGAACTCTCACCCAAGCATTGGAGTTCAATACTCCGCATCTGCATAGGCTTGGAGAAAGGGGTTGAGGTGCTGAAAGAGAAGGGGGAGAGGCTTGGACCTGAGAGGCCAGCAGAGGGGTGGCAGGTGTGTGGCCTCCCCTGCTTCTCCTCCTCCTTCATCTCCCCTGCAGCAGCCGAGCCGCCCCACAGCCGAGCCGCCCTGCCGCCGAGCCGCCGGGTCGCTGAGCTGCTGAGCTGCAGTTGCTGCCGAGCCGCCCTGCCGCCGAGCCGCCGAGTCACCGAGCTACTGAGCTGCAGTTGCTGCTGAGCCGCCTTGCCGCCGAGCCGCCCGAGTCGCCCGAGCCGCCGAGCCGCCGAGCTGCCGAGCCGCTGAGTCGCCGAACCTACTCTTCCCACCACTGGTGAGCTCTTGCCCTGCTAGCACGCTGCGCGTCGCCTGCTTGCCTGCCTGCCTGCCTTTTGGCTTGCCTGGCTGCCTGCCTCCCTGCTGCTAGTCCTGCTCCTGCTTCTACTTGCGGAGCCAAATGCAGCCCCAGCGACGCCGGCGTGAGTCCCTCACGCCGCAGCAGCTGCGTGAGTGGTACGCTGGTTGGGGCTGTAGGGGTGGCGACGCTACTCCTACTACCACTCCTGCTGCTTCTACTCGTGGTGGCGGCCAGATGCAGCTCCCGCGACCCTCTCGCGTGTCTCTCACGCCTCGCCAGCTTCGTGAGTGGTACGCTCAGAGTGGAGGGTCTCTTAGTGCTGTTCGCTGCTCTTACGTGATTCGCACTGGTACTCGGACTGGTCAGCCTTGTGGGACACGTAGTCATACACCGTCCCGCTGCTTCGCCCGTCTGAGCGACGCCTGGCGTACCGTGTTTGGCGACGAGGCTGAGCTTCCCGACTGGGTGGAGTTGCTTAGGCAGAGGGTAGATATATATGCTCTTGACTATGATGCTATTCTCACTGCCATGTATGCATTGCCTACTAGTGCTGACCGTGCAGGTCACCTGTGCGTCCCGCCTGACCCAGGTATAGGACCTGCTGCTCTAGCTACTGGTGAGGCTGCTGCTCTGGGTGCTAGTGAGTCTCCTGCTCCAGGTACAGGTGCGGCTGCTGCTCTAGGTGCTAGTGAGTCTGCTTCCTCAGGTGCGGGTGAGGCTGCGCTCTCAGGTACCGCGTTGGCTTCGGCCTCCCTCACCTTTACACTTGACTCTGGGGCTTCTCGCTCCTTCTTTCGGGACCGCACCACACTCACGCCGCTTGGTCGGCCGGTTGCAGTCTCCCTGGCTGACCCCTCTGGGGGTCCTGTCCTCGCTCACTTCTCCACTGTCCTCCCGTGTCCGGCTGCCCCCTCGGGCACCCTGTCTGGCCTGTACCTCCCCTCGTTCTCGACGAACTTGGTGAGTGGTGCAGACCTACAGGATGCGGGGGTTCACCAGTTCACTCCTGCGAGTCAGCGGGTGACCCACTGCACGGACGCACGCACAGGCCGGCACCTGGCCACGTTCTCGCGTCGGCCGAGTCGAGCCTCTACACCCTGACCACTGAGTCTCCTCCTGTCCCCGCGTCCGGTCAGGTAGCAGCGTCGGGTCAGGTGTTTGCTGCTGCGTCCAGGTCTGGTCCTGAGTCTGCCCCCTGTACTTGTCGCCTCCTGTCTCACGAGACTCTCCTGTGGCACCACCGTCTTGGCCACCCCTCCTTGCCCCGTCTTCGGAGCATGGCTTCCCGTGTCCTTGTCTCTGGTCTTCCCCAGTCTCTCCCTCCTCTCCCCTCCGGGCCAGGACCTTCCTGTGTCCCCTGTGTCGAGGGTCGCCTCCGGGCTACTCCTCACTCCTCCCACTTCCCCCCGACAGAGGCTCCCCTGCAGACGCTTCACATGGATGTGTGGGGCCCAGCCCCCGTCCGTGGGCAGGATTACGAGCGCTACTTCCTGTTGGTGGTTGACGACTACTCGCGTTACTGTTGGTGTAAGGGCCTAATAAACTCAAGCTATTAAGACTTTATCACACTTAAAACCTCTCCTCGGGGTCACCTCCAAGGGTCCTTGGGTGCCTGGTACAAGACCAGCCCCTATCCTCGGGTCCGAGTTTGTAGAGAGAGGAATCAAGAGGGACTTAGTCAAAACAGCAAGAGTACCTTGAACGTCGCGCAGCGTATCGTGCAGACCGTCGATCGGATTAAGCTGAGAATTTCCTATATCGAAGCTCACTCTAAGAGCTTTAAAATAAGCCAAGTTGCCTCGCGAAAAGTTCTGCCACTACGAAGTTTATGGCTCGGACAGCGTTAGCCTAGCGTTGGAGTGCTAGCGTACTAGCGTTGACTCGGGTAGCATTCCGCCGTCGCACCGCGTAGACAAGAAATTCCAGCAAGGAAGGAATTCGCTTGAATCAATTTCACTATGTTCAGGTACAAACAGAGAAGGAATAAATAGCTCTAGCTAGCAAGGACCTTGGGAATCAACCTGGGAACAACCAGGGATGATCCCAAATAATTCCAAGCAACAGAACCAACATGGCTGGACAAAATAGCAGGTGATAGGTTGGTGAACAACCTCTGGTTCTGTTTTTCCAACCTGGGAAAACAACAACCAGGTTCAGGTCCTAAAAACAGAACCTGTTTTGTCTTTGCCCAACCAGCCAAATGCTGGTTCCGCTGGTTTCCCCTGGCCCTGTAGCATGCAGATACAGACAAACAACATCCAACCTTCACCTAAATTGTACCCCTATAGTGCCTGCCCTGCTACACTATAGTCAACCAAACAAAACAGTACAATTTCGAGTTGGATAGAACTGAATCTGCGCAATCAAGTAAGTTGAACCGCAAAGCTTCCATCTTGGGTTCCTTTGCGAGCTCGTCCTTTCTGCTTGTACTGTTCATAGCGCGTACAATGTTATGCCGAAGCGCACATTTTGCGAGTACCTGCAAATGCTTCAAGCGAAAATTGCGAAAGCAAACAAACACACAAACATACCATTCACACGCAAATGCATTCGCACACGCATACTCGTACAAACAGACGGCAGGATGTCGTGCAATGTGAATTTGCACCCAACATACTCCCCCTCAGCCTGCCGGCTGCATCCCCATCATTCCATACTAGTTCATGCTCATTCCACTCATGCGCACACAACGCCAATGAGGCTCATCCGCAAGCCTCTTGGTGAGGAAGTCTGCTGGCTGCTGGTGAGTCTTGATGTAGATCGGATTCACCGTCCCCCTCTTCACCTCCTTACGCAGCCAGTGCCACTTGATACGCATGTGCTTATTCAGCCCATGAAGCACAGCGTTCCTGGCCATCCCAAGAGCTCCCTTGCTATCACAAAACAGCGGCGTAGCAATCTTTTGCTCCTGGCCAATCTCCTCTAATAGCCTCCTCAGCCAAATCACCTCCTTCACCCCATGGAACATCGCCATGTACTCTGATTCCACGGAAGAGAGTGCTGTCTCCGTCTGCTTCTTGGACCTCCAACTAACAGGTCCTCCCCCTACTACGCAGATGTATCCTCCCACAGATGAGGAATCTTCTTTTTCAGAGGCCCACGTAGCATCGGTAAAGCAAGTGAGAAAGAGCTTGCCTTCTCCAAGCCTCTCCCCCTTCTCTTTCAGCACCTCAACCCCTTTCTGCTTCACCTGCGCAGATGCGGAGTATTGAACTCCAATGCTTGGGTGAGAGTTCAGGTACTTCACCACACGCTCAGCTGCATCCACCTGCTCCTCTGATGGATTCTGCACCACCCTAGCCAGCTGCCCAACCGAGAAAGAGATGTCGGGTCTCGTGTGAACTGCTGCATACAAGAGGCTGCCCACCAAGGACTGAAATTGCTGCTGCTCCTCGGCTTCAACCCCTTCCTCCTCTGCAGCTTTCACAAGCTTGAATTCTGCTGGCAGGGGAGTTGCAACCTTGCGCTCATTCTCAATTCCGTACTTCTCCCCAAGCTCCTTGATGAACTTCTCCTGGTGCAGTTTCAACCACCTGTGATCTGGATCCCTCTCCACGTGCATCCCGAGGTAGTACTTTACCTCCCCAAGGTTCTTGCACTTGAAGTTCTCCATCAGCTGCTGCTGCACCTTCTGGATCTCCTTCATGCTGCTGCTAAAGAGAAGAATGTCGTCCACATAGACCAGAAACAGCACCAGCTTCTCCCCCTCCCCCTTGAGAAAGAGGCTCTCATCACAGCTGCTGGTCCTGAATCCCATCTCCTCTAAAACAGCTGCCAACTTCTGGTACCAGCAGCGTGGCGCCTGCTTCAAGCCGTAGATGGACTTTTTCAGCTTGCACACCCTGCCCGTACCATCCTCATACCCAGGTGGCTGCGTCATGAACACCTCCTCCTCTAAAATCCCATTGAGGAATGCCGTTGATATATCCATCTGGATAATGAACTTCCCACCAACGGCTGCATCTGCCAACAAGACACGAAGGGTAGGGGGTTTGGCAGTGGGAGCAAAGATCTCATTGAAGTCCCGCTTCTCCTTCTGCATAAACCCCTTAGCCACCAACCTACTCTTGTAGATGGTGACCTGCCCCTTGTCGTCAGTCTTGATCCTTAGCACCCACTTGCATTGTACCGCTTTCTTTCCCTCAGGCAGCACCACTAGTTCCCAAGTCCCATTCTCCAGCAGGCTCTGGTACTCAGCATCCCTGGAAGCTAGCCATTTGTCCCTATCTGGTCCAGCTAATGCCTCCTCCATGCTAGCTGGTTCCTCTGGTGCAGGGGCAAGAAAACAGTACGCAGGTTGATCCTCCTCATCCGGGTCATAGCCATGCGGTAGAATCAGCAATGCCTCCTCGGTCCCAAGCTGCTGCTCCGCTACATCAGCTCCTGCAGTCAGCTTCTTAGTAGCCATACGGGTACGTCCTGGCCTGGAGACGGGTGTCTCCCATCCCTTCATAACGACACCCTTCGGCTTCTTAGTTTTCCCCTGCTGCTGCTCTCCTCCCTCGGATCCAGCAGCTCCACTAGTGCTACCGCTAATCTCCACACCATCACCTCCACCAGCAGGTGCCTCCTGCACCTTCTCTTTATCACCACCCTCTGCAGCTGCCTCCTCTCCCTCCTCCCACACACTAGGAGTCAGGTCCAGCTGCATGGTAATCTGCTTCATCTGCTGGGACACCCTGGCCTCCGGCTGTTTCTCCCAGCTCCCATACATTATGCCCTCAACAAACTTCACATCCCTGCTGTCAAACAACACACCCTTGGAAGGCTCCCACAGCAGCCATCCCTTGCTTTCAGCAGCCAGCCCCAAATGTACACACCAGGTTGCACTCGCCCCCAACTTACTGCGGTAGGTCTTGGGAACGTGGGCGACTGCCATGCAACCGAACACCCTCAGCATGTCCACCGGCGGCTTCCTCCCAAGCCACCTCTCCAACGGCACCCACGAGTCATCCCCAACCTTTGTGAGTACCCTGTTCCTAGCGACGGTAGCGTGCCGAACAGCATGGGGCCACATCAAGTTGCCCAGCCCAGATTCTATGAGCAGCGCCCTAGCTGTCTCCAGAATTGTCCGGTTCGCCCGTTCTGCTACACCGTTGGACTGTGGGGTGTAAGCCGTGGTCAGCTCCCTCTGGATGCCCTGCTTCTTGAGCCAGGCCGTCATCTCAGCTCCAAGGAACTCACCACCCCGATCTGTCCTAATCCGCTTCACCACACACTCCGCTTGCTTCTCCACGAACGGCAGCCAATCGTCCCGAATCGTGGAGGCGGCGTGATCTTTCTGCTTCAGCGGATACGCCCACATTAGCCTGCTCCAGTCATCCACTATGGTTAGGAAGTACCGCTCCCCCTTGTGCCCTTGCACCGGCAGCGGCCCCACCAAGTCCATGTGGACCAGCTCCAACGGCTTTTTGCTCCTGCCAGCCACACTATGGAAGGGGAAACGGGTGAACTTTGAAAGGAGGCAAATTTCACAGTTATCATCGGGTGGTTGTCCGTTCAGCTTTAAGCCCTTAACGGCTCCATCCTTCTCCAGCTGCTTCAGCAAAGGCATTGCCACATGCCCCAAACGTCGGTGTGCAGTTGCCCAATCTGTCTCCCCAGATCTGGCCGACACTTTCACACCAACCCCTCCAACGGCGTTGCACTCCCCCTGGGATGCAGACCCCTCTCCAGCCTGCCCTCCACCGTGCCACGCCAGCGCCGGCAGCTGCCACATAGATCTGTACACGTCCTTGCTCTCGTGCAGATCCCAAAGCACCCGATTGCCCAGCTTCCCCTTATAAGTGCGAGCCCCATCCGTGTTGGTGTTCACCCCAGCCTTGCCAAGCTTACGGAGGGAGATAAGGTTGGCCTTCAGGTCGGGGACGAGGAGAACGTCGTGCAGCACCACCGGCTTGCCATCCGCTCCCTTAAATGCAGCTCGTCCCGCACCAGCCACCTTCAACATGTGTCCAGAGGCAGAGCACACCTCATTAATCGGTGCAGCGCGTACGTCGTCCAGCAGGTCCTTGCGCGGCGTCATTGTCCAAGCAGCGCCTGTGTCCAACACCCAATAGTCCAGGGGGTGCAGCTCTGCTCCAGCCTTAGCAGATGCGTCTCCTTGCTCCCCCTTGTCTCCCATATGGAAGAATTGGCCCGCGGTGCGCTCCTTCTTCTTCTCCGCACCGCCGTTGCCCTTCGGGTTGTTGTCGGACGAATCAGCGACCATGTTGGCGCCGTTTTTCTGGTTCCTCCGCGCGCCGCCATCCTGGTGACGATTCTGGGGGGTCCATCCATCGGGTTTCTTATAGCACAAAAACCAGGGGTGCCCTTCCTTCTCACAATACCAGCAACTCCCTTTCATTTTGCCACCAGCACCCGACTTGCCCCCACGTCCAGATTTCGCACCGCGACCCCAACCGGTACCTCCTTGTTGGTCGTTGGAGTCGTCGTCTTTCTTTGCACCGCGTCCAGCACCACCGAAGCCACGTCCTCTGCCACGTCGGCTCCCTTGCATCCCGTAGCCGCTGCTGCCGTCGTCTCCACCCCTCAGTTGACGGCGACGGAAGTCCTCCTCTAGAATCTTTGTCCGCACCCACTCGAGTGTCCACGAGCTCTGGTTCTGCGGCAGGCTCAATCCGCTCGTGAATTGAAGCCACGATTCCGGCAGCAGCGAGAGCATCTTCAGGCACTTGGTCTGCTCTGGGTAGGTGATTCCCGCGATCGCCAACTTCGCGTAGAGGTCGCGCAATTTGTCCAGGACAGGTTGCACTGGCTCTCCCTCGCTCAGGCGCAACGCGGACAGCTCCCTCTCCAGCATCAATGTTGCAACAACGGAGGTCGGGGCGTGCAGCTCCTTCAACACCGTCCACGCCTTCGGACCGCACTCAACCTCCGGCAGCAGGTGCATGACGTGGTGACGCTGGTTCAGCTCCAAACTCTGCGACATCAAGTAGTAGCCAGCCGAGGCGCGCTCGTCCCAATCTTCCTGAAGGGCGGGGTCACTCGGTCTAGGCTCCTCCCCAATCATTAGTTTCAGCAATCCGATTTGACGGAAATAAAGTTGCATTTTCCAGGCCCAATCATCATAGCCCTCACCATTGAACTTCTCGACGGTGAAGTTTTTCAGCACCTCCTTGATCAGCGAGCCCTGGCTTGTTCGCGCTCCCCTTGGCGCAGAAACACCAGAATCATGGCTGCCGCTACGATCTTGGGCTGAAGATTCACCAGCTACCGCCGAGGTGTTGCCCGCCATAGCTACCTATATCGAGGATCACTATAACGCAGCTCTGATACCAGCTTGTTGGTGTAAGGGCCTAATAAACTCAAACTATTAAGACTTTATCACACTTAAAACCTCTCCTCGGGGTCACCTCCAAGGGTCCTTGGGTGCCTGGTACAAGACCAGCCCCTATCCTCGGGTCCGAGTTTGTAGAGAGAGGAATCAAGAGGGACTTAGTCAAAACAGCAAGAGTACCTTGAACGTCGCGCAGCGTATCGTGCAGACCGTCGATCGGATTAAGCTGAGAATTTCCTATATCGAAGCTCACTCTAAGAGCTTTAAAATAAGCCAAGTTGCCTCGCGAAAAGTTCTGCCATTACGAAGTTATGGCTCGGACAGCGTTAGCCTAGCGTTGGAGTGCTAGCGTACTAGCGTTGACTCGGGTAGCATTCCGCCGTCGCACCGCGTAGACAAGAAATTCCAGCAAGGAAGGAATTCGCTTGAATCAATTTCACTATATTCAGGTACAAACAGAGAAGGAATAAATAGCTCTAGCTAGCAAGGACCTTGGGAATCAACCTGGGAACAACCAGGGATGATCCCAAATAATTCCAAGCAACAGAACCAACATGGCTGGACAAAATAGCAGGTGATAGGTTGGTGAACAACCTCTGGTTCTGTTTTTCCAACCTGGGAAAACAACAACCAGGTTCAGGTCCTAAAAACAGAACCTGTTTTGTCTTTGCCCAACCAGCCAAATGCTGGTTCCGCTGGTTTCCCCTGGCCCTGTAGCATGCAGATACAGACAAACAACATCCAACCTTCACCTAAATTGTACCCCTATAGTGCCTGCCCTGCTACACTATAGTCAACCAAACAAAACAGTACAATTTCGAGTTGGATAGAACTGAATCTGCGCAATCAAGTAAGTTGAACCGCAAAGCTTCCATCTTGGGTTCCTTTGCGAGCTCGTCCTTTCTGCTTGTACTGTTCATAGCGCGTACAATGTTATGCCGAAGCGCACATTTTGCGAGTACCTGCAAATGCTTCAAGCGAAAATTGCGAAAGCAAACAAACACACAAACATACCATTCACACGCAAATGCATTCGCACACGCATACTCGTACAAACAGACGGCAGGATGTCGTGCAATGTGAATTTGCACCCAACAGTTACACCACAGTCCTCCCCTTGCGCAGCAAGGGTGAGGTCACTGAGGTGCTGATCGACTGGATCCGCGAGGCTCGTCTCCGGCTCAGGAAGAGCTTCGGCTCGGACTTTCCTGTTCTGCGTCTGCACTCGGACAGAGGCGGAGAGTTCTCCTCTGGCCTTCTGCGTGCCTACTGTCGTGCGCGAGGCATCCGCCAGTCCTTCACGCTTCCGGACTCACCACAGCAAAATGGGATTGCTGAGCGCCGCATTGGCATGGTCATGGATGTCGCTCGTACGTCCATGATGCATGCGGCTGCCCCCCATTTTCTGTGGCCGTTTGCGGTGAGGTACGCGGCGCATCAGCTCAACCTTCACCCCCGGGTCTCTCGGCCTGCGATGTCCCCAGCCTTGCTGTGGACAGGGAATGTTGGCGATGCGTCTGTGTTCCGTGTCTGGGGATCTCGGGCGTTTGTCCGCGACTTGTCTGCGGACAAGCTGTCCCCTCGTGCTGCTCCCTGTGTCTTCCTTGGCTTCCCCACTGACGCCCCAGGGTGGCAGTTTTACCACCCCTCCTCTCATCGTGTTCTGTCCTCCCAGGACGTCACGTTCGACGAGTCAGTCCCCTTCTACCGTCTCTTCCCCTACCGCACTCCTTCCCTCCCCCCTCCCCCGGACTTCCTTGTATTGGTTCCCCCCCCGTTACACCCCCTCCCCCCTCAGGTTCCTGCCCCCTCAGGTGTGTCCCAGGTAGACGCCGTTGACCCGGTCGAGGTTACAGGTGACTCTGGTGCTGCTGCGGGTGCTGAGCCTGGGGGTGCTACTGCTGGGGGTACTGGGCCTGCGGGTGCTACTGCGGAGAGTGCGGAGCCTGGGGGTGCTGAGCAGGGGGGTGCTGTGCCTGGAGGTGATGGGTCTGGGGGTGCTGGGTCGGGAGCTGCTGAGCCTGGGGTTTCTCCTGCTGCTGCGTCTCGCCGGGAGCCCCTCTCTCCACAGGAGCTGCGCGAGTGGTTCGCTCGCCGCTGGAGGCGTGCTGCTGAGTCTGGAGGTGCTGCTGGAGCTGGAGCTGGAGCTTCTTCGACCGTCGAGGGTGCGGGTGCTGCCGGTCCCGGAGCTACTGGACCTGCGGGTCTGTTGGGTGCAAATTCACATTGCACGACATCCTGCCGTCTGTTTGTACGAGTATGCGTGTGCGAATGCATTTGCGTGTGAATGGTATGTTTGTGTGTTTGTTTGCTTTCGCAATTTTCGCTTGAAGCATTTGCAGGTACTCGCAAAATGTGCGCTTCGGCATAACATTGTACGCGCTATGAACAGTACAAGCAGAAAGGACGAGCTCGCAAAGGAACCCAAGATGGAAGCTTTGCGGTTCAACTTACTTGATTGCGCAGATTCAGTTCTATCCAGCTCGAAATTGTACTGTTTTGTTTGGTTGACTATAGTGTAGCAGGGCAGGCACTATAGGGGTACAATTTAGGTGAAGGTTGGATGTTGTTTGTCTGTATCTGCATGCTACAGGGCCAGGGGAAACCAGCGGAACCAGCATTTGGCTGGTTGGGCAAAGACAAAACAGGTTCTGTTTTTAGGACCTGAACCTGGTTGTTGTTTTCCCAGGTTGGAAAAACAGAACCAGAGGTTGTTCACCAACCTATCACCTGCTATTTTGTTCAGCCAGGTTGGTTCTGTTGCTTGGAATTATTTGGGATCATCCCTGGTTGTTCCCAGGTTGATTCCCAAGGTCCTTGCTAGCTAGAGCTATTTATTCCTTCTCTGTTTGTACCTGAATATAGTGAAATTGATTCAAGCGAATTCCTTCCTTGCTGGAATTTCTTTTCTACGCGGTGCGACGGCGAAATGCTACCCGAGTCAACGCTAGTACGCTAGCACTCCAACGCTAGGCTAACGCTGTCCGAGCCATAACTTCGTAATGGCAGAACTTTTCGCGAGGCAACTTGGCTTATTTTAAAGCTCTTAGAGTGAGCTTCGATATAGGAAATTCTCAGCTTAATCCGATCGACGGTCTGCACGATACGCTGCGCGACGTTCAAGGTACTCTTGCTGTTTTGACTAAGTCCCTCTTGATCCCTCTCTCTACAAACTCGGACCCGAGGATAGGGGCTGGTCTTGTACCAGGCACCCAAGGACCCTTGGAGGTGACCCCGAGGAGAGGTTTTAAGTGTGATAAAGTCTTAATAGTTTGAGTTTATTAGGCCCTTACACCAACAAGCTGGTATCAGAGCTGCGTTATAGTGATCCTCGATATAGGTAGCTATGGCGGGCAACACCTCGGCGGTAGCTGGTGAATCTTCAGCCCAAGATCGTAGCGGCAGCCATGATTCTGGTGTTTCTGCGCCAAGGGGAGCGCGAACAAACCAGGGCTCGCTGATCAAGGAGGTGCTGAAAAACTTCACCGTCGAGAAGTTCAATGGTGAGGGCTATGATGATTGGGCCTGGAAAATGCAACTTTATTTCCGTCAAATCGGATTGCTGAAACTAATGATTGGGGAGGAGCCTAGACCGAGTGACCCCGCCCTTCAGGAAGATTGGGACGAGCGCGCCTCGGCTGGCTACTACTTGATGTCGCAGAGTTTGGAGCTGAACCAGCGTCACCACGTCATGCACCTGCTGCCGGAGGTTGAGTGCGGTCCGAAGGCGTGGACGGTGTTGAAGGAGCTGCACGCCCCGACCTCCGTTGTTGCAACATTGATGCTGGAGAGGGAGCTGTCCGCGTTGCGCCTGAGCGAGGGAGAGCCGGTGCAACCTGTCCTGGACAAATTGCGCGACCTCTACGCGAAGTTGGCGACCGCAGGAATCACCTACCCGGAGCAAACAAAGTGCTTGAAGATGCTCTCGCTGCTGCCGGAATCGTGGCTTCAATTTACGAGCGGATTGAGCCTGCCGCAGAACCAGAGCTTGTGGACGCTCGAGTGGGTGCGGACGAAGATTCTGGAGGAGGACTTCCGTCGCTGCCAACTGAGGGGTGGAGACGACGGCAGCAGCGGCTACGGGATGCAAGGGAGCCGACGTGGCAAAGGACGTGGCTTCGGTGGTGCTGGACGCGGTGCAAAGAAAGACGACGACTCCAACGACCAACAAGGAGGTACCGGTTGGGGTCGCGGTGCAAAATCTGGACGTGGGGGCAAGTCGGGTGCTGGTGGCAAAATGAAAGGGAGTTGCTGGTATTGTGAGAAGGAAGGGCACCCCTGGTTTTTGTGCTATAAGAAACCCGATGGATGGACCCCCCAGAATCGTCACCAGGATGGCGGCGCGCGGAGGAACCAGAAAAACGGTGCCAACATGATCGCTGATTCGTCCGACAACAACCCAAAGGGCAACGGCGGTGCGGAGAAGAAGAAGGAGCGCACCGCGGGCCAATTCTTCCATATGGGAGACAAGGGGGAGCAAGGAGACGCATCTGCTAAGGCTGGAGCAGAGCTGCACCCCCTGGACTATTGGGTGTTGGACACAGGCGCTGCTTGGACAATGACGCCGCGCAAGGACCTGCTGGACGACGTACGCGCTGCACCGATTAATGAGGTGTGCTCTGCCTCTGGACACATGTTGAAGGTGGCTGGTGCGGGACGAGCTGCATTTAAGGGAGCGGATGGCAAGCCGGTGGTGCTGCACGACGTTCTCCTCGTCCCCGACCTGAAGGCCAACCTCATCTCCCTCCGTAAGCTTGGCAAGGCTGGGGTGAACACCAACACGGATGGGGCTCGCACTTATAAAGGGAAGCTGGGCAATCGGGTGCTTTGGGATCTGCACGAGAGCAAGGACGTGTACAGATCTATGTGGCAGCTGCCGGCGCTGGCGTGGCACGGTGGGAGGCAGGCTGGAGAGGGGTCTGCATCCCAGGGGGAGTGCAACGCCGTTGGAGGGGTTGGTGTGAAAGTGTCGGCCAGATCTGGGGAGACAGATTGGGCAACTGCACACCGACGTTTGGGGCATGTGGCAATGCCTTTGCTGAAGCAGCTGGAGAAGGATGGAGCCGTTAAGGGCTTAAAGCTGAACGGACAACCACCCGATGATAACTGTGAAATTTGCCTCCTTTCAAAGTTCACCCGTTTCCCCTTCCATAGTGTGGCTGGCAGGAGCAAAAAGCCGTTGGAGCTGGTCCACATGGACTTGGTGGGGCCGCTGCCGGTGCAAGGGCACAAGGGGGGGCGGTACTTCCTAACCATAGTGGATGACTGGAGCAGGCTAATGTGGGCGTATCCGCTGAAGCAGAAAGATCACGCCGCCTCCACGATTCGGGACGATTGGCTGCCGTTCGTGGAGAAGCAAGCGGAGTGTGTGGTGAAGCGGATTAGGACAGATCGGGGTGGTGAGTTCCTTGGAACTGACATGACGGCCTGGCTCAAGAAGCAGGGCATCCAGAGGGAGCTGACCACGGCTTACACCCCACAGTCCAACGGTGTAGCAGAACGGGCGAACCGGACAATTCTGGAGACAGCTAGGGCGCTGCTCATAGAATCTGGGCTGGGCAACTTGATGTGGCCCCATGCTGTTCGGCACGCTACCGTCGCTAGGAACAGGGTACTCACAAAGGTTGGGGATGACTCGTGGGTGCCGTTGGAGAGGTGGCTTGGGAGGAAGCCGCCGGTGGACATGCTGAGGGTGTTCGGTTGCATGGCAGTCGCCCACGTTCCCAAGACCTACCGCAGTAAGTTGGGGGCGAGTGCAATCTGGTGTGTGCATTTGGGGCTGGCTGCTGAGAGCAAGGGATGGCTGCTGTGGGAGCCTTCCAAGGGTGTGTTGTTTGACAGCAGGGATGTGAAGTTTGTTGAGGGCATGATGTATGGGAGCTGGGAGAAACAGCCGGAGGCCAGGGTGTCCCAGCAGATGGAGCAGATTACCATGCAGCTGGACCTGACTCCTAGTGTGTGGGAGGAGGGAGAGGAGGCAGCTGCAGAGGGTGGTGATAAAGAGAAGGTGCAGGAGGCACCTGCTGGTGGAGGTGATGGTGTGGAGATTAGCGGTAGCACTAGTGGAGCTGCTGGATCCGAGGGAGGAGAGCAGCAGCAGGGGAAAACTAAGAAGCCGAAGGGTGTTATTATGAAGGGATGGGAGACACCCGTCTCCAGGCCAGGACGTACCCGTATGGCTACTAAGAAGCTGACTGCAGGAGCTGATGTAGCGGAGCAGCAGCTTGGGACCGAGGAGGCATTGCTGATTCTACCACATGGCTATGACCCGGATGAGGAGGATGAGCCTGCGTACTGTTTTCTTGCCCCTGCACCAGAGGAACCAGCTAGCATGGAGGAGGCATTAGCTGGACCAGATAGGGACAAATGGCTAGCTTCCAGGGATGCTGAGTACCAGAGCCTGCTGGAGAATGGGACTTGGGAACTAGTGGTGCTGCCTGAGGGAAAGAAAGCGGTACAATGCAAGTGGGTGCTAAGGATCAAGACTGACGACAAGGGGCAGGTCACCATCTACAAGAGTAGGTTGGTGGCTAAGGGGTTTATGCAGAAGGAGAAGCGGGACTTCAATGAGATCTTTGCTCCCACTGCCAAACCCCCTACCCTTCGTGTCTTGTTGGCAGATGCAGCCGTTAGTGGGAAGTTCATTATCCAGATGGACATATCAACGGCATTTCTCAACGGGATTTTAGAGGAGGAGGTGTTCATGACGCAGCCACCTGGGTATGAGGATGGTACGGGCAGGGTGTGCAAGCTGAAAAAGTCCATCTACGGCTTGAAGCAGGCGCCACGCTGCTGGTACCAGAAGTTGGCAGCTGTTTTAGAGGAGATGGGATTCAGGACCAGCAGCTGTGATGAGAGCCTCTTTCTCAAGGGGGAGGGGGAGAAGCTGGTGCTGTTTCTGGTCTATGTGGACGACATTCTTCTCTTTAGCAGCAGCATGAAGGAGATCCAGAAGGTGCAGCAGCAGCTGATGGAGAACTTCAAGTGCAAGAACCTTGGGGAGGTAAAGTACTACCTCGGGATGCACGTGGAGAGGGATCTGGATCACAGGTGGTTGAAGCTGCACCAGGAGAAGTTCATCAAGGAGCTTGGGGAGAAGTACGGAATTGAGAATGAGCGCAAGGTTGCAACTCCCCAGCCAGCAGAATTCAGGCTTGTGAAAGCTGCAGAGGATGAAGGGGTTGAAGCCGAGGAGCAGCACCAATTTCAGTCCTTGGTGGGCAGCCTCTTGTATGCAGCAGTTCACACGAGACCCGACATCTCTTTCTCGGTTGGGCAGCTGGCTAGGGTAGTGCAGAATCCATCAGAGGAGCAGGTGGATGCAGCTGAGCGTGTGGTGAAGTATCTGAACTCTCACCCAAGCATTGGAGT